GCTCTAGGCTAACTCGCCCGCAGTGTTGTCCCCCACCACACCACACCCTGTGGTGCGTTGCGTCTGCTCGCGCACGTCATACATTCACTACATCCATCTATCACAGCATTGTGACCTCTCCATCCTGCACCAGAGAAGTGAGAGGCACAGTATGTCTAGATAATCTAGACTGGGCTGGCCTATCACGCGATGCGTTCTGCTTGTGTCTGCGCATGCCACACCCTCCCCACTCATTCGCTCCGGCCTTCATTGCTGGTTCGCATACACTGTCCCATTCCTTGTTTCGCTGGATCACTGACAACTTTCTCAACTGGCAAGGTTTTATAATATGTTTAATTGGTCTGTGCGCTGTGCACAGCAGCACCAATATTTCGTTATAAACGACTCGCGTGATGGTCTGATTGCGCAATAGCAGTATTTTATCTACAAAGATACAGAAGGAAAAAAACGGGGCTTTAGAACAGTGTCTTTATAACAGACTTCTCGTTGTTTCAGGACTCGTTATAAGTGGACTCCACTGTATTATGTTCCTATTTCCTATTCACCACAACAGGATATATAGCATTAAAGAAAATTAATTAAAAATTTTTTAAAGAAATGAGATGCTTCTCCCTCGTATTATATCATGTCTGATCCTTCTTTCACTATACTCTCTTTTTATTCAGATGTCAGTGGAAGAATTTGCAGTCAGTTGATCGGGTGTACCCATTCCTTTCTCGCTTTTTTCTGTTGAGTCTCCTCATCGACCAAGACAAATAACGCCAATCATTTCCTATCCATGTGCAACTGAAACTGATATGAAAATATGATGCCACACGACATTAGGTTACTGCACCGCTCGCTCCTCTCTGCTTGCAGTGTGGCCACCCAATGTTAACACGTGAAACAACTCCGCTCTGCTTGCAGTGTGGCCACCCTATCGTTAACGCGTGAAACAACTCTGCTCTGCTCGCAGTGTGGCCACCCAATGTTAACGCGTGAAAAAACAGCTCCGCTCTGCTTGCACTTGCAGTGTGGCCAGAGCCTTACAGCCACTGCCTCCTTGACAATGGGTGGCCGTTTTACACAGATTTGACTGTAAGATTTCAGTGCGAGAGTCAGGCAGTGCGCAGCACAGGCTGACCATAGTTCAGCTGCGAGAGAGGGCTTCTTTTTGCCTATCACTATCATCAGAGAGTATTTAGTTATAGTGTCTCCGGTTGCCGCCCACAGAGCAGCCTCCATAACTATTTCTATAAATAAACTCCTCGCCCGGAAGTTGGATTCTCGTCGAGAAGATGAAAACAACAAGGCCGTAGGCTAGGTCATCGTACTGTAGCTTTTGGTAGGCCTCGTCGTAAAGTAGATCAAGAGGCTAGAGCTAGATCTAGATCTAGAACATTGGTGAATTGTATGCTGACTGCAGGAGCGAGATCAAGATTGTCAGCTTCTCAGGTATTGTGGGATTGAGATTGAGATCATCCAAGTGTAGATCTAGATCTAGAAAATCTAGTAGATTCTAGTGTAGTCAGGTCTTCCCAGTAATCCCAGGTCCCAGGCCCAGGTTGGAACGTAACTTGTTTACACTGGTATCATGGTGAACGCACACTGTCACCCAGAGCCGATGCACTAAGTGATGAATGCACACCGGGTGATAATAATAGCCAAAACTGGGAGAGAGGTAAGGCTTACAACTGCGACTGTGTGATTCTCACTTCAGACTTCAGATGAGAATAAATGGTAACGTCAATTGCCGAGTGACGCGGGCGGTGGCAATTGACAAAATTTGACTTTTTGTCAATTGCCACCGAGTGAAGCGGTGTCATGTCTGAAAACAACACTATATTTAGCATTGGGAAGATTGAAGGGGAAGATTGAAGAATACCGGACCACTCGTACATTATTGCGCGAGAAAGTGGGGTTGGTGGGGCGGGTGGTTGGGGTGAAGGAGGAGGGGGGTTAAGGGGGTTCCCCCCCTGACAAAATTTTAATGAATAGATCTACCGGTCCGAGATTCTCCATTGAGAGATATTAAAAACGGGAAAATTATGAATTCCTAAGGTTGAGACATATAGGCAAAGTCAGTCCGCTGGTCCGATTCTTTATGTCTTACTTACCGATTGAAGAATACCGGACCACTCGTACATTATTGCGCGAGAATGTGGGGAGGGTGGTTTGCGACTTGAAAAGTTCATTAGAAAATTGAACTAGCCGCTTGCTGCACTTTGCGTTTGGTGCGCTAAAGAAATCACGACCCGCGGCACTCCTGTACAACTGCGGTCCCGTTTGTTTACATGACAGCTATTGTGGCTGTGGAAGCGAATCTAGATCCAGATAATCTATCTCTAGATATAATCTAGGTCTACACATATGAAAGATATCTAGATTCTAGATCTAGATTGGGGGCTCTCGTGGCCTAGAGGTTGTGTTGGCCTCTCATTCAAAGGTCCCGGGTTCGATTCCGGGTAGCGACCAAAACATTTTCTTCTCTAAAATTGTCTCCTTTCACATCCTTTCCTGATCTCTAACAATGTTCTGTCGTCTGCTTTCATTTCCTCTTTCTGCCCCCACCCCCTCACCTCCTTTGCCCCCTCCTCTGGGCTCCTGACTCTTTCTGCAGCCTTTCTACTGCTACTCCTTGGCTCCTCCTAACTGCTGTCTTTCTGCCACACCCCTGATCTTCTGGTAGGAAAGATCTACACCTAGCCTTTTCGGACAAGGGCGAAAAATCTCGGAGGGCCCGTGTGCAAGTTGCGCACGTTAAAGATCCCTTGGTGGTCTAAAATCGATAAGAGTAGGCTTCGGCCGCCACCCGGGCAAAATTCAAAATTTCCTACCAACGAAAAAGTATTAGGTGTGTCCCTCGCGCTCATATATATGACCTTATGCAGTTGCGAGCGCCGTAAAACCCTATACTAAACAAAACGATCTAGATTAGATAGCCTAGGCTATAATTTTAATTTCAGTTTAGATCACTAAATAAGAAACACACTACAGGGGCACTAAATGCAAACGGGACCGCAATTGTACAGGAGTGCCGAAATCGCTCAGTACAGAGGCAAAGGTGTTGCCTCCCTGATCCAATACTGCTCTACATCGATGTACAAGTTTAAAGTGAAAGAAATCTTTTTATGAGACACCAGCTGGCAACTAACACTGGATTTTTAGTCACCAAGTCCAGACTGTGTAAAAATTGACTCTTAAATGCTTGTTTTAGTCAACTTAGTGCCTTTGGTTTTTTTATTGGGGGGGGGGGGGGATTCAAATACCTTTTAATTCAGTTGTCTCTATGGTTAACAAATATGACAGTTTTCCCTTCCAAAACCGTAGGCTAGATTTTCCAGTATGTTGCCTCTGGATCTCACTTGTTTTACTCCGGCCTTCGGAGAGCGCGCGTACGCCTTCGCGTAAATTTCCTCCTTTTTTGAAATTCCTGAGTGGCAGCTATGACTAGCGTCAACAGCTTTTTTCGACATGATTTGACGTGATGTAACACCTTTTGACATTGAAATCGCGGTAAAACACTTGGCACAAATGTTAGCGGAATACGACTGTTCATCTTCATCCCTCACATCAATCCCGTAAATCAAGAGAATGTCTCCTGGCATTGTCTTACATAATCGGGGCTTTCTGTACTTTTTTGTTTGACAGTTAAATTTGAACGCCAACACACCAACAAAGTTCATTCAGAGACTCTCTATGCCTCTCATATGTTACTTATATGTATGACCGACCCATTGCAGTTTAACAATTTTTACTTAGGAACACAATTCACTAACTGATTGCCAGTCACTGCAAAGTGCTGGAAAAACAAAATTCACATCATTAGAAAATATGATTTGATGGCTATCACTCCGCGCAATCAGAAATAAACTCCATTGTTTCATTTTGGAATGATTTGTAATTAAATTTGAAGAGATCACATTATTAACGGCACTTCCGATCACTTAACACTCACAATTTAAAACTGTTATTATTCCCAAACGAATCAATGAAAACTTTTGAAACTTTCACAAGATACCAAGAAGACGTAGACGAAGCGAAATTGGTGAAGAAATAGATTCTAGGGGTAGAGTGAGCATCATTTTACGGCTCATGAAATTAGGGGAAGAAACACGTTCTTATAAGGACAAGATAAGACATCGCTGTGCACGAGTTGACCCCGGTCAACCCCCGACCTGACGCCTGAAATTGCAGGTCACCTGCTGGTGTCACCTGCTGGTGATTTATGGCCTACCGTGGGGGGCCTGGACGAACTAATAGATCGCATGATCGGAGACGAAATTTTGGACGCTGTGTACCGCATTATTGTTTTTGATGGTGGTGGTGGTGGTTGCGGTTTGTATTTTGTTGGTAATTTTTATTTTGTTGCTGACTTGGCACAAGGGTGACAATAAAACATAATGTATCAGACGAGGAAGACCGAGTGCCATGTTAAAACAAACACATGGATCGCCACCACTCGGAGGACGAGCGACGCTTCTGTCACAAGTCCATTTTGACGTCCATTGCTACTTTGTTACAGACTGAGTAAACAGTGACCACTCATCTCACTTACGATTTGTGTATGAGTTCTGGGCGGGGCTTATGGGTAATGAGGGATCACACGCTTACCCCACCAGCAATTGAAAATTGGTAGCTATTGGTCAACAGTGGGAGGGGCCTACGCAACATGACCGGTTGGAGGGATTACCTAACAACGACAGGTGATTGAATTATGACGGCTCGCCCACAACGCCAGGGGTCAAGGCTCAATTTATGACAAAACGCAATGGAGTCACTAAGGTGGCCGTCTTAGACAGGTCTTATTGCTTAGTGTAATAGGGGCTGTGTGTTAAAATATGGTGGCAGCGGCAGCGTTGGACAGTAGCCCGTTTTACAAAGTTAAATTATATAGAAAAAACGCAAGGGGGAAATGGAAAGTGGCCGTTTGTACAGGTGGCCGTGTTATAGAGGTAGCCGTCAGGGCATGTTTTACTGTACATATCTATAGGAAAATACTCCAAAACAGTGGACCGCGCAGTAGCAGGTTCTATAAGATAATCGACGATATCTTGGTAAATAATCAGAGTTTTAGAAAGAAACTTGGCTACCCAATGTGTTTTTGGGTGGAGAAATCATTTCTGCAGTCAGATTTACTACCCATGTCGTTGTTATTTTGTTCTAATTAAAATTTTGGTGTACATATTTTGATTTTGCAATAAAGGGGTGTCGGGATGAGTCCATTTTATTTATAGCATCGTATCACAACATGGGATCCTTAAGAATATGTTGACAGCGGGACAAAATAATGGTAAATATTTCTTTGATGACTTAAGGCCATTCCAACTCTAAAATTCAATTCAAACCAGCATGCCGTTCAATCAAAACCCCTTTTTCCCCGTTGAGACTCGAACACCCCGAGGCGAGATAAGCTCGCCTCGGAATACAACCATTGCGATGTTACAGGCAAATAGAAAGAAAAACAATCGGATGCGCGCCTGCCATTGTCAGATTTCAAGTGACCATTGAACGGGTTCGGAATAGTCATGCGGGGGATTTGTAGGTCACAAACATTTGCATAGGAGTGAGGGGAAAATGGCTGGTTTCCGTGGGAAGCCACTTGGGACAGGGGGGTAGTCGTGCATTTATGATAAATTCTGCACAACTACTTGACACAGAAGGTTCAAATTTGAACACGCTATAGAGGAAAGATGGATCTGTTACCATCTCGATGTCGAGTATCGAACTCCTTATAGAGCAATTGCCAAAACGTGAGACTCTCTTGAGACTCAGTGGTGCAAAAAAAAATTTCTTACCAATTTGACTCTCTTTTCTGTCAGTCACAGATTGACATTTAGTGCTCATATTCCTAGAGTATCAGAGCAAGGAGATGTACGGTTTTGGAGATATGGGTCTATTGGTTTGGCAACTACTGTATTTCTTGTATGTAACAGTGATGACAAAAACAGATAGGCAGCAAGGCAAATTATAGACTTTAAATTCCATTTGTTTAGTAAACAAAGACTTTGTACACTATGAACTCCATTCATAATGGTAATATGAATGGCAAGCTTTGTAACAATGACGCAGTGCACAGAACATGTCATCATTGTTATGTACAAGAAAGGATACACACTGGACATTATCATTGACAACACATCACAATAATGAAAGGCTGTACAAATACAGTTATCAAAGCCTCAGTACCAGAAAAACACATGTGTAAAACAATTTTTTAACTAATATGAGGCAAAAGCACAAAATCAATGGAGCTGACTTGTACATAACAGTGATGACAAACATGACTTCTACATAACAATGATGACACAATGTACAGGAAAAGACAAAAGTCTTGCCTCCAGAGATAAAAGCGCACTTTAAGAATAAAAAAAAAACAGGAGAGGTTTCTTTTGCTTTGAAACAGATACCAGGTCATATCAAAGACAGTGGACGATCACAATTATGTTGCTAAT